CCAACTAATGAATGAACACAGTGTAGGGCTTCAAAGCAATGTAATGGGGAATCATGATTACCATACAATCTTATATACTCTTACAATTTTTTACACTAGGGAGACTATATGTTATTTATACATGAGTTTGATTATTTTGTTTATGAGTATGGTCTCAAGTTGCGTTCATTTATTTATAAATATCTCAATGTGATCATGCTTTATAGCTGAGTAGTACTTTACTGTATAAAAATATCACGATTTTTTAATCCATTCCTCAGTTGATGGAAACTTAGGTTGTTTCTAAGATCTGGCGATTACAAATTGTGCTGCTAAAAACATAGGTGCACATATATCACTGTGGTATGATGTTTTCAGTTCTTCTGGGAACATGCCTAGAAGTGGAATAGCTGGGTCAAATGGGACTTCCAATCCCAGGCTTTTGAGGAATCTCTGGACTGATCTCCACAATGGTTGCACCAGTTTACACCCCCACCAACAGTGCAGGCAGGAGCATTCGTTTTTCCCCACAGCCTCTCCTGCATTTGTTGTTGGTAGTTTTCTTGACCCTGGCCATTTTTTCTGGAGTGAGATGAAATCTCAGTGTGATTTTAATTTGTATTTCTCGAGTGACTAATGATGATGAACATTTTTTCACGTATTATTTGCCATTTGTATTTCTTCAGCTGGGAAGTATGTATTCATCTCAGGTGCCCATTTTTGGATTGGGTCTTTGAATTTTGGGGTCTATTTTAAAAAATTCTTTATATGTTTTAGACAGAAGTCCTTTATCTGAGGGGCAGTTCATGAAGATTCTTTCCCAGTTTGTGGGTTTTCTTTTCACTATGCTGGAGATTTCTTTTGACATGCAGAAACTTTTTAATAATATGTGATCCCAGTTATTGATTCTGGAAAGTATTTCCCGTGTGGTTTGATTCCTGTTCATGAATTCTCTACCTACTTCTATGTCTTCAAGATTTTTACCTAATTTGTCTTCCAACAGATTTAGTGTTTCTGTTTCAATATTCAGATATTTGATACATTTAGATTTTAGCTTAGTACCTGGTGATAGGCATGGGTCTAGTTTTAGTTTTTGGCATGTGCAAAGTCAGTTTTTCCAGCACCATTTATTAAAGAGACTGTCGTTCTTCCAGTGAATATATTTGGCCCCTTTATCAAAGATAATATGGTTGAGTGTGTTTGTAGTTGTGGTTGTATTTTCTAACCTATTCCATTGATCTTCTGATATGTTTTTATTCCAATACCATGTTGATTTTATTACATTAGCTTTGTAGTATAACTTCAGGTCAAGGATTGTGATGCCTCCTGCCTTGCCTTTGCTGCTTAGAATTGCTTTTGCTATTCTAAGTCTCTTCTGGTTCCAGAAGAATTTTAGGAGTGATTTCTCTAGATCTTTGAGGTATGTTGACGGTATTTTCACTGGGATTGCATTGAATCTGTAAAATAGTTTTGGGAGAATGGCCATTTTCACAATATTTATTCTTCCTATCTATGAGCAAGGGATGTTTTTCCATTTTCTAAGATCATCTTCGATTTCTTTTTTCAGGGCACTATAATTTTCCCTGTATAGATCTTTTACATCTTTCATGAGATTAATTCCTAAGTATTTCATTTTTTTGGATGCTAGTGTGAAGGGTGTGGCTTCTCTTATTTCTCTCAGTGATTTTGTTTTTAGTGTATAGGAATGCAATTGATTTTTGAGTATTGATTTTGTATCCAGCTATATTGCTGAATTTATTTATTATAACTAGGAGTCTTTCAATGGGGATTTGGGGGTTTTCTATGTAGAGTATCATGTCATCTGCAAATAATGATAATTTAACTTCCTCTTTTCCTATTTTTACCCCTTTTATTTCTCTCTCTTGTCTAATTGCTCTGGCTAGTATTTCCAGGACTGTGTTGAATAGGAGCAGTGATAAGGGATATCCTTGTCTTGTGCCTGATTTTAAGGTAAAGGTCTTCTGTTTTTGGCCATTTAATATAATGTTGGCTGTTGATTTGTTGTAGATGGCCTTTATCATATTGAGGTAAAGACCATCTATTCCAATTTTCTGTAAGGTTCTTATCATGAATGAGTATTGGACCTTATCAAAAGCTTTTTCTGCATCTATAGAAATGATCATGTGATTCTTACTTTTGGCTTTATTGAAATGGTGGCTTACATTTATTGGATAACATATTTTGAACCATCCCTGCATGCCTGGGATGAGTCCCACTTGGTTGCAGTATATAATCTTGATGGTTTGCTACATACATCCTGTTTGTCAATATTTCATTGAGGATTTTTGCATCTATGTTCACTAGGGAGATGGGCCTGTAGTTCTCTTTTTTAGTTGGGTCTTTCTTAGGTTTTGGTAGTAGGGTAATATTTGCTTCCAGGAATGAGTTAGGAAGAATTGCTTCCCTTTTGATTTCATTGAAGAGTTTGAGGAGTTTTGGCATTAAGTCTTTGTATTTTTTGTGGAATTCTGCAATGAATCCATCTAAGCCTAGGCTCTTCTTTGTAGGTAAGGACTTAATTACATTTTCAACTTCATTAGTAAAAATTCGGTTATTCAGCAATTTTACATCTTCTTGACCTAGCTTTGGTACTTCATATGTTTCTAGGAATCTGTCCATTTCTTCTGTGTTATCAAACCTATGAGAGTAGAGATTTTTGAAATAGGTGTTGATGATCTTCTGTGTTTCCACAGAGTCTGTAGTGATTTCTCCTTTTTCTTTCCTTATTCCATGAATTTGAGTTTTTTCTTTCCTTTTTAAAATAAGTTTGGCTAGGGGCTTATTAATTTTATTTATTTTTTCAAAGAACCAACTCCTTGATTCATTGATTCTTTGAATTGTTTTCTTAGTGTCTATTGCATTAATTTCTGCTCTGATTTTTATAATTTCCTGTCTTCTTTGGTTTTGGGCTTGACTTGCTCTTCTTTTTCTAGATGTTTTAAGTGTAGCATCAGGTGGTTTATTTGTATTCATTCTGTTTTTCCTGATGTGGGAACTCAGTACAATAAATTTTCCTCTGAGGACCACTTTCATTGCATCCCACAGATTTCAGTAAGTTGTATTTGTATTTTCATTTGCTTGTAGGTATTGTTTAATTTCTTCTTTAATTTTTTTCTGTGACCCAATGATTGCTCAAGAGTGTATTATTCAATTTCCATGTGTCTGTGGAGTTTTTGCAGCTTCTTTTTATCATTAATTGCTAGTTTTATGGCACTATGATCTGATAACATGCATGGGATAATTGCAAGTCCTTTGCACTTACTTAAATATGTTCTGTGGGCTAGTATATAGTATATGGTCCCATGTACTGCTGAGAAGAATGTATATTCTGATGTTGTTGGATGGAACACTCTGTATATGTCTATCAATTCCATTTGTTCACAGGTGTGATTCAGTTCTATTATTTCTTTCCTGATTTTCTGTCTGGTTGATCTGTCCCTTGATGTCAATGGTGTGTTAAGGTCTCCTGTTATAATTGTGTTATTGGCTATTTGATTTTTCATTTCTGTTATTACTTGCTTTGTATAGCTGTGTGCTCTGGAATTTGGTGCATGTATATTTAAGATTGTTATCTCTTTCTCTTGAAGTTTTCCCTAACCAGTATGTAGGGACCTTCTTTATCTCTTTGGATCATTTTTGGTTTGAAGTTCACATTGTCTGCAAACAGAATAGCTACCCCTGCTTTTTTGGGGGGTTCCTGTTGCAGGAAGTATTGTTTTCCATCCTTTGACTTTTAGTCTATGAGTTTCCTTTTGGGTTAGATGGGTTCTTGTATACGGCATATGGTTGGATGTTGTTTCTTGATCCATTCTGTCAGTCTGTTTCTTTTAATTGGTTAATTGAGACCATTTACATGAATGGTTATAACTGTTATATACTGGTTTATTGTTGACATGTTATCTTTCTGCTGTTGCATCTTTATCTTTCCATTGTGTTTAATTATCTGCCTTGCTTAGTGGTTTTTTCCTATGTGTGCATAGACTGTCTTTCAGTATTCTTTGCAGGGTTGGTTTGGTGGTCATGCAGTTCTTTAGCTGTTCTTTGTCATGGAAGTATCTTATTTCTCCATCCATTTTGAAGGACAGCTTTGCAGGGTACATCAGTCTAGTTTGGAAATTGTTTTCCTTTAGTATTTGAAATACTTTGCTCCATGCACTTCTTGACTTCATTGTTTGTGTTGAGATGTCTGCTGTGATTCTGATAGGTTTTCCTTTATAGGTGATCTGTCTTTTTTCTCTAACAGCTTTTAATATTATATTCTTAGTTGAATTTCTGGGATGGTGATTATTATATGTCTGGGTGTAGTTTTATTTTGGTTATAGCTATTTGGAGTTCTTTACTAATGCTTTACTCATCTGAATGTCAGTTTCCATTCTCATATTTGGGAAATTTTCAGCTATTACGTCTGTAAATAACCTCTCAATATCATTTGTGTTGTCCCTTTCTTTTTCATTTATCCCTATCAATCTTATGTTGTTTTTCTTTGCATCATCTTGCAGCTGTTGAATTGTTCTTTCCTGATTCCTTATTTTTAAAAGATCTTTCCTTTCCTGTTCACTAGCTGCAACCTTGTCTTTGACATCTGAAATTCTGTCTTCACTTTTGTTGAGGCGGTTTTGACAACTTTCTGTGGAATTTTTGATCTTTTTGAATCTGCTTCTTGTATTCTGTTTGTTTCTTATATTGTTCATCCAGGGATTCTATCTTTTTGCTCTGTTCCTCTAATTTTTTAACTGTGTCTTCTTTTGATGTGTTCAGCATCTCTTTCATTGCTTTTATTACTTCTTCTTTTAACTGGGAGGTCATCTCTAATTTGAATTCCTTTAGAGCTTCCCAGAGTTGCTTCTTTATTTCAGTTGCTATTATTTCAGGTGTTTCAGGTGTATGGCATGTATTTTCTTCTATGTACATGACTCCTAGGCTTTCTTGGGATGGGATGGAGGTTTGAGATTACATTTTGGTCTTTCATCTTGTCATTTTCCTATATTTCTGTGTTTCAGGTGATGATCCTAAGCTTCCCCTGGGTGTGTTGGAAGTTTCCTCCTATGCCCTCAGCTCCTGGGTCTGAATGGAGGTTGCTGAGTGTAGTCCCGTCAGGCCCACAGGACCTCCCGTGCCACCTCCTGTTCATTGCCTGCACTTCCCTCAGTTTCCCTGCCTTTTTTCCTTTGTCCTAATAAAAGTGGGCTAATCTAGAGAAGTCTTGTCATAGCCCTTGGAGTCTCAAGCTCAACTAAAGGGTTTTGACCCTCCTGGAGCCCTAAAACTATACAATTTGTCTCTTTTTATTTAATCTCTGCCATACTCTCATTTGGAGGTCAGGGATCTAGGTCAGGACCTGATAACTGGTGCCTCAAACAGAGGTCTTAAAATCTTTGGGCTAGGAATTTTTAGCCTGAATGAGTAAGTCCTCCCAGAGTGGAAAGGTTTGGATATGGAAGAGGCCTTCACTCTTCCAGGGACACCTGAAGAGAAGAGAGGGAAGAAAAAAGTGAATCTTTCCACTGCGAAAAGCCATTTTATCTGGGAGTAAAACAGGGGGCAAAGGTTTCAGTGGAGGAGCAAAAGTATTTACAATTGCTCCAAAACCTGCTTAAACACTCAAGGGCTCATGTGCCAAAGAAAGACTTAACAAAAATGTTAAGAGAGGTAACCAAATACAATCTGTGGTTTCCTCAAACAGGCACTATAGAAATTGATATTTGGGAAAAAGTTGGAAAAAATCTTAAAAAGCACACAGGGCAGGACAAATCATTTCCCCCACCCCCAGACATTCTCAACTTGGAAACTGGTTCATTCAGTTTTAGGTCCATTAAAGAGCTCACATTCAATAGCCTCTGATTCAGACACAGAGGGAAGAGAGCTCCCAGCTGAGGTGCCTGCCACCAAAACAAAATCCTTAGAGAAATTACCTCAGTAGGAGCCTTTACAAAAAGTATCTTGTACAGCTCTATCTAGAAACTTACAGGTAGTATGGGAAGAGGCAGCCACATGGGGAGAAAATAATATCCTCCCGGCTTGCTTCCCAGTTGGAATTGAAAGAGATGCTAATGATCAAGAGTATTTTATTCATACACCTTTTGAAATACAACTGCTAAAAAATCTTAAAGTGTGGTTAACAATAGAGTCCAAAGTCCATTTACTGTGGGACTCTTACAAAATGTTTTGGATACATATCAATTGATACCTTATGATATCAAACATTTGGCACAAACATGCCTGTCTCCTGCTCAATTCCTGTATTTTGATGTAAAGCTGAAAACTCTTGTCTCAGAGCAGGCTCATAAAAATAGAACAAGTCCCAGTCCACGTCCAGCAATAAATGAGGAAATGCTTTCTGGGACAGGGATATATGCACCACTTGAGGAACAGGTTTGATGTCCTGAAGAGCTATTTCCACAATTGGCAAAATTAGTAAAAAAAAGCAAGGACAACTGTTTTAAAGGATGGGGCTCCAATGATGTCCTTTTTACATATTCTGCAAGGACCCCAGGAACCCTTTACTCAATTTGTGGTAAAATTATAAGAAACTGTTCGCAGACAGGTATCAAACACAGAAGCTGTGAACATTTTAACTTTAAAATCAGCATATGAAAATGCTAATCAGGATTGTAAACAGGCTTTAAATCCTGTAAAGTTGACTAATGATTTAACAACATATCTTGAGCATGTCAGTGTTAGGTCTGAGAAAGGGGGGGATGGGAAAGGAAGGAAGGAATGGAGTGGAATGGAGAAGGAGAGGAAGGAGTGGACGGCCGTGGCTGCAAAGACAAGAAATATAAAATATAAGTAACCCTTATTTCAGGAATGCGGGGAGAGACCGCCCTGGCCCCCAGGGCGCAGCATCTCCACCCCGGGGCCGGCGGTCTCTCTCTGGAACACACACTCTAACACTCACGTGGAGTGAGGCCTATAAGTAGCCTCTGTCTGGGGGCATTAGGGATGCACAGGTAGCCCATTGGCACACATTTGACGGCAGAGGCAGGTTCTTAGGGATGCGGGTATAGGGTTACAGGTAAATCTCTAAGGGGTGGGGGAGGCAGGAGCTCCTTAATTTGGCTGAGGCTTCTCCTGGTTAAAGTGTCCGGTCTGGGCCAGCAACTCTTTCAGTCAGGACATCGAAACTGAGTCTTATAAGACAATTATGATGGCTTGGATTATGGCTGGCCTTGTAAATGCAAAAAGGAGTAATGTAAAATGTTTTAATTGTGGAAAAATGGGACATACTGTTGTACACTAACAAAAAGAGTTTCGTTATATTTATATTATACCAAAATACTTGCAATGTGGCCTACTGTTCTATATGCATGTTTCTTTTAAATTTATATCAGCTTATTCCAGTACAAGATGAATTGTTTCTTTTTTTTATATTTTAGTAATCAAAATCTCAACTCTGTCTTTATAATCTATAGCATTCCTGGAAATTTCCCTCCCCCAAACTTACAGTATTGCAAATTATCCTGTTGGGCTCTTTGCTCTTGATAGCCATGCCACAGAAAGAAAGCATTTTCTTTTACATTTTTACTTTAAGACAAAACCACTTTTTTTAAACTTAGTCAATTATTATTTTCTCTTGCTTTTTAGACAACATTAAAACTTTTAACAAAATCCTTGAAGTGACCTTTTAGTAGTCTAAAACATAATCATTTTATGTCTTTTTACCACATTAAAATGTTACATCTTAAAAACTGTAACTTTTTTAACTGGCTCAATTATAGCATGACCTGGTTTTACTTGGTAAAGTTGATATGATTTTTAAAAACCATAAATATACATATATTTGTGTACATACATTCACATTTTAACCAGAAAGAAAAATACTTTTTAAATGGCATGCCAAGGTTGCAAGTAACCAATTGATCATTAAACAAGGCGCCACAAAAGACAAGACCAAACAAAGGTTGTTTTGTGCAGTTTGGTGAGATAAAGGAAATAATTTTCATTATGAACCTTGAGTCCAATGAGCCACATGGATTCTGCAACAGAAATGGGCAACGAGCCCCTAAATTAGTAACAAATTCAACAAGTTCAAACGGGCAAAAAAAAACCCCAAAAAACCAACCCCAAAGTTAGTAACAGATTCAAACAGGCAGACAATTCCAAAGTATAAAAACACTGAACATAAATATACACGGGTAAAAGGCCCCAAAGTTACAGAGGAGCCAAACCCCCAAAAAGGTCAAAACTACACACATGGGTGGAAGCCCCAAACAGGCCAAAGCCACACATGGGCCAAAGCCCCAAATGAGCCGAAGCCACACACATTGGCTGAAGTTCCACATTACAAATGGGTGATAGCCCCTGGATTCCGGTGCAGAAGGAGCCCTAGCTCATCTGCAGTCATTGCATGCATCCAATTACAAGCGGGCAAAAACCCCTACATGGGCCAAAGCCCAAACAAAGTTACGAATGGGCCCCCAAAGCCCTAAAATACAAAAGGGGGGAAAAAGGTTCCCAGAAGTTGTCTCATTTTATCTGCAGTAACAAAAGTGTGCATTCAGATTACAAACAGGCACAAAAAACCAAATACTTACAGATGTTTAGCCGATCAATTGGTGAAAAAATAATTTTGGGGGGTCCCCCATTAATCCTGAGTGAGCCCCCAAGTCTTGTAATCCACAAACAAGCCCCCAAACTTAAGTTCAAAAAATGAGGCAAAAACATATTTTAAAAAAGCAGCGCTGATTTATTTTATCCTGGGCCCAGAGACGCAGTGCAGTTGGAGATTGCAAAAGCTCCTCTGTACTTGCCACTTTTAAGTACATATTACAATTTACAAAGTAAGGGGGTCATGGGCGTGGATCAGGAAAACTGTTAATGAGGAAGACCTTTGTTTTCCTTAGCAGAGGATAGAGTAGTCTAGCAGTAATTAATAACCCCTGTTAGCTTATTTTAGCACCACATCTGTTATTTGTAGAGGGCAACAATGGTTAACATATCAATTAGGTTAAGTTTTACAATTCTTTACAGAGGAGAGCATTGATTAACATTTCAATTAGGTCACCTAGAGGAAAAGAAACATGCATACAGAACAGTAGGCCACATTACCAATATTTTGGTATAATATAAATATAACGAAGCTCTTTTTGTTAGTGTACAACATACTAGAAAAAACTACAGGTTCTTGGTAGACGTGAAAGGACAGATGCTGCAGCTGCAGCACACCAAGAGAAAAGTGCCTCTGGTGAGGAGGACTCAGGTTAATGTGCCGGGGCTCTGTCTGAGATGCCAGAAAGGGAGGCATTGGGCCAAAATATTGTCATTCTAAATTCCATAAGGATGGTACAAAGATCACCAAAGATGAGGGCCTTTCCTCAGGCCAGTAAAACAATAGAGGAGGCACGACCTGTGAGTCAAAATCTTAGTCAACTTTATGCAGTGCAAACTCGCCAGCAAATTCAAGAACAAAATCAAAAGTGGCTTCCTGGGGGCTGGAGATTTAGCTCAGCGGCATAAGCGCCTGCCTTGCAAGTGTGTGGTCGTGAGTGCGATCCCTGGTACCAATAAAAATGAAAAAGACAAAAAAAAAAAAAAAAAAGTGGCTTCCTGGAGAGATGTTAACTCATTCACCATGGGAACAAGCCAAAATGTGGGATTAGATCTTCCTACAGCTTGCAGAGTCACTTTCATTGGAAGTGACAAGCCCACCCAAATTCCCACAGGAATTTTGGGTCCCCCCCACCTGAAGGAACAGTTGGTCTTGTACTGGGAAAGGCTGATCTAAATTTAAAATGAATAACTGTTGTGCCTAGTGTGATTGATGGTGATTGTAGAGATGAGATAGAAGTTCTTGTATGTGCTATGGACCTCTGGGTTTGAACAGGGAGACTACATGGTACAGTTGATTTTGTTACTTATAGAGAAGCCTTATTTTGTTAAGTATAAAGAGATCAAGAGGGAAGACCCTCAGAGCAAGTTTACAAAAAGAAAATTTTATTTTACACAGGAAATGACTAAAAACAAGCCTATATGTTTTATAAAAATTAATAGGAAATACTTTGAAGGTCTTATAGATACCAGTACAGATATGTCTGTAATTGTATTAGAACAATTGCCTGCCACATGGCCAATACAAAGGGGCCCTACATCCCTTATCAGACTGGGAACCCCTCAGCATGTGCTCACCTTTGCCTTATGAGGGACCAGACCAACAAAAAGGTTTCTTTTTACCTTATGTGGCACCTATTCCAGTTAACTTGTGGGAAAGAGATTTGCTACAAAAGTGGAAATTAGTGCTGACTAGCAATTCTGATTT